TAAAAGTTTTAAATTGGTATAAAAAAGCTGCTTTAATATGTAGAAGTAGATATAAAAAAGAAAACAATTTTCAGCAAACTCTGGTTGTTTAGTCACACAACAAAAATAACTTACATACTTGCGATGAAATGAATCTTAGTCTTTTAACTTAAACTTAGTAGAAATGTTCTAGAATGTGACAATATCTACAACTTGAACCAAATGCAACAAAAAATAAGTTATCAATTCACAATAATATCCATAAGGAATGCAAAATACTTAGATACACATCATGATCATGACTAAAATGCTTAGTTTCGAAAAACTAAACCAAAAAAGAAACTTACTAAATAAATAATATTAATAGGTACCTACCCATTAAATAATATATGCAACATATTATTATAAAATAATCGGCTAGAAAAAAATACACTGAAATATACCTACTTATTCTAGCTCTCATTATTCCCAACAAAAAAAATATCTAAGGAAAAAGAAGCACAAATTTCTTATAGCTCATCACATCATGACTAGAATGTGTCAATGGGTGCAGTACAAATGTAACAAAAAAAACATAGTTTCTAATAATAGGAAATCATTGAAATCAACAATGGCACAGTTTTTATCTGGCGGAGGTGGACACGACGCAGCAAGCTTGGAAGCAAAACACAAAAATCATCAATAAATTGATAATCAGTATCACTCCCACGGCACACAACTCAACAAATTCAAGAACAACGGGGATAATGCGAAGAGAATAAAAAAAATCTTAAAGAAAGTCCTAAAATAGTATATTGTTGTATTAGGAGTAGAAGCTTTACTTTTTTGTGCTGAAGCAGTAGGTTTGCGAGCCGAACGTAGAGCTTGCAATACTGCTGAAGCACAAAAAAGTGCTTCTACTCCGTATGCAATACGCTATTTTTTCTCCAAACGAATGTGGTAAGCTCGGGGGTAACTGGATGGTTGAGCGGCAGTAAAAGTACGAGCGGCACTAAAAGTACTTTTACTGCCGCTCCAGCGGCACCAAAAGTACTTTTGCTGCCGCTGGGGTTGCCAAGCAGCATAGAAATTAAATTTCTACCACCTCGACATGGTGTTAACCTCCTGGATTTGCCTAGCAACATAGAAATTGAATTTCTACCATCTTGACAGGTGTTGACAAAGTGATGTTTTTTTGACGTTTGGAGAAAAATTAAAGGACCCCGCACATTTCTTATGGAAAAGTGATCTATGTGGAATTTTGCTGAATTTTTGATATTGTGTATAGGGAGTCGTCCTTAACAAAAGTGATCATTGCGCTAATGTTCAATACCCAACAGTTTTCAAGATATCAATTAAAAACTTTTTTAAAAATACTCTTCAGTATGACTATTTTTTTAAATTAAAGCGGTATCATACTTTCAAATTATAGTTATCGGAAAACAGTTTAGGGAGTGACTACTGCACTGTCTAGACAGTGCCATCTGAAAACTATCTGCACTGACCAGACAGAGTCGACTAAAATCTATCAGCACTGTCTAGACAGTGCCGACTGAAATCTATCTGCACTGTCCAGACAGTGTCGACTAAAAACCATCTGCACTGTCCAGATAATTTGATTATCATATCATATAAAGTCGCAGTTATATTCAAAATGGCTTGCATTCCTTGCTGGGATTCAGTGTATTAATAATTATTTTTGTTATAAGTTCGCAAAATGAGTGTTTTTTCAATACTTCAAGGTACCTAAAAGCCTAATTTTCACAGGTTGGGTCGAGGCCAAAAATTCATTCGAAGTTACCCATAAACACAAATGTCGCATACAAAATACAAACAACATTTTTCCTACGAGCGTGCTCAAAGTAGTACTTTTCCACACGCATTTCCGTACTCAAATTTCCACTTCCGCACTCCGTGAAAAGTACCTACTACTTATTTGCGCACGCTTGTAGGGAAAATGTTTGTATTTTGTATGCGACATTTGTGTTTATGGCCACCCTCGAATGAATTTTTGGCCTCGACCTGACCTGTGAAAATTGACACTCTTAGGTACTATTCAAAAATAGCTATTTACCTAACAAGTGCGGAAAAATATTTTCCGCAAGTGTTAGGTACAATATTTTTCCTACAGGCGTAAAAATGTAAAATTTTTCTTTTTTTTTTGACATATCAGTGCGGTAAAATTTTTCCCGCACTGACAGCCGTGCGGAATAGTATATTACATACCGAGGTGGAAAGTGTTTCATTACTGTCGAGAGATTTAAGTTAGACCGAGGCGCAGCCGAGGTCTAACTGAAGTCTCGAGACAGTAATGAAACTTTTCACCGAGGTTTGTAATATACTTTTTTATTTACAATCATTCGAATTTTGAAATTTTCATTTGGATTAAAACTAAAAAATACAATAATTAACAATTTCATTTACTTTCGACCCACAGGTCGAAAGTTTACTTTCGACCCGTGGGCCGAAAGTAAAAGTCAAAAAATACAATAAATTTTAAAAATTTCATTCACTTTCGACCCACGGGTCGAAAGTAAACTTTCGACCCGTGGGCCGAAAGTAAAAGTCAAAAAAGTGACATTTTCGAACTTTTTAAAAGTCAGTAAAGTCAACATTACATGTATGATTGTAAATAAAAACTTTTTCCGCACTGATATGTCAAAAAAACAAGTTTTACCACACCGTGCGGGAAAACTCATTTTCCGCACGCATATCAGTGCCGCTGTAGGAAAACATTCATTTTGTGGACTTATTACAAAAATAATTAATAATAAACTAAATCCGAGCAAGGACTGCAATAAGCCATTCTGAATATAACTATAACTTTATGCGATAATATGATAATGAAATTATCTGGACAGTGCAGATGGTTTTTAGTTGGCACTGTCTGGACAGTGCAGATAGATTTCAGTCGGCACTGTCTAGACAGTGCTGATAGATTTTAGTCGGCACTGTCTGGTCAGTGCAGATAGTTTTCAGTCGACACTGTCTGGACAGTGCAGTAGTCACTGCCAACAGTTTAACGTAAAATTTGCCTGTTCGCATCCGTTATTTTATAACCGTAGCCTAACTTGTACTTTGTTGTGATTTGATTTGCGTTGTCAGTTGTTCATGGTCAGGGACAGAGGATTTGCTTTTTTACTATTTTTTGAACAATCCATATTCACTTGAACACAACAAAAATGATAAAATAAACAATAAACATAACATAACCTATTATTCCACGGCGTTATTTTTAGACGTTATTCGAAATAGCGCTTAACGTAAATGCTGGGTAAACTACGTTATGCGGTAACGTTATTTTAGTACGTAGTGTTAAAAATCGAATCGCGCATAGGTTTAGTCAAAATAACGTAGGCGCTAATACTGCATGACACTATATTTGGGTTACCGATATCTCTCTAAACGTCAAACCTGGTAAAAAACCTTGGTAAAAACCTTTGGTAAAAACCAATGAACTCCCGATTTGTAAGAGGTCTGTTCTGCAGAAATCACAAACCAGTCAGGGTGAATTTCATTGGTTGAAACTAGTTTTCTGACTGTTTCTGACTGTTTTCTACCAATGAAATTTGTTCTGACTGGTTTGTGATTTCTGCAGAAACAGACCTAAAGCCTAGTCTCCATGGACGCGAAATCGCGAATTTTTTTTTGCGGATATTTTCCGATTGGTTGGAATTTGACATTTAACATTTGATTTTTTTATGGCGGGAAAAATTCGCGAATTTTTTAACTTCTTGCGGCGTCGCAAAAAAGTTAACTATTTTTTAACTTTCCGCGAAATTTCGCCAAAAAAAAATGAGGTTATGTGGTGTTACTTTCAGTTTAGTTTTGTTTATGTTTTTGTCGGTATGTGCTCTGTTCTGTGCTCTGTCCTCTGTGAGTCGTTGATGTGTTTTGTACTTGTAGATACCTAATAAAGAATGGATACTGCCAAAGAATTGAATATTGTAGACCCGAAAACAGACATAAATTACAGCTTGCTGGTGGATGAGGAAGATTATAATAGGGCCTTAAATGTAATTAAGACAACACCAAGACACATATCTTTTTTTGTTTTTTGGTAATCACTTTCATGGTTTTCAAAGATTAGTGTTTGAAATTCAAAGCATTTAAATCGAATTCAAATTGATTACAAAGAAACAACACATAGGTAACCTTAACCTGTTAAATAAAACGCGAATTTCGCGCTTATGGAGACATGGGAATAATTTGCTCGGAAATAGCCACCAAAAAATGACACTTAAAAAATTCGCTTTCCGCGATTTCGCGTCTATGGAGACTAGGCTTATGGAATAGATGCGTGGTGCAACAAACACTTTTCGAAAGGAATAAGCGCGGAACGCCCCGGTTTCAGAGCTCCTCCTAGATGTAAAAGGAATACAACTAAGGGCGAGTTCTCATGAGCGTAAGTTGACATTTCTGGCGTAATCACGTGATAAAATGGTTGGATTTTATTGGTGAAATATTCGTCATGCTAGAGATTTTACCAATCAAATTACACCTTATTATCACGTGATTACGTCAGAAATGTCAACTTACGCTCATGAGAACTCGCCCTAATGGTAATAACCTTGATAAAAACCTACTTCAATGGTAAAAACCAATGTAAAAACCGCAGGGCGTTTTTCAACCCAGTCCCTGAGTGGGGTAATTTGGGCGCACTCTAGGCACGTCAACTCTCGATTCCGAACGAGTCCAGCGAAAAGCCTAGTACTCATAACTGCGAAATTCCCACTTTTTTGACATTGTTTTGACAAATTGACGTTTTATGCGTGAATCAAACGTGAAATTGTCGAAGCAATGTCAAAAAAGTGCGAATTTCGCAGTTATGAGTACTAGGCTTACGCTCCGAGTAAGCACTAATTAATTTCTGAACGGTTTAGAGTTACTCTAGGGTCCCTCTCACACCCAGAGTGCTTCTAAAGGCAACCCTGTAGTTGGTACGTTGGTTGTTGGTTAACATTGGTTGGTTATTTGTTTTGTAGGCAAATGGCAACATCGCGCTGAGCCGTCCGCCAGCAAGCCGCACGAAGCCAAAATTTTTGAGGTTATCCGACGTTTTCAGAGCGTTTGCTTGGCTTGTTTTGAGCTGATTTTCTATAAAAATAAATCAAAATGGTAAGTTTCTTGAGTTATTCATTATTTTCAACATCTAATATAACTTTCCAACACTTTTTAGACGATAGGTAAGAATAACAAGATGATCCAGCACATAAACTATCGTGTGCGGATCACCCTGAACGACTCTCGAACGTTTATTGGCACGTTTAAAGCCTTCGATAAGCATATGAACATGATTTTGGGCGACTGTGAAGAGTTTAGAAAAATCAAACCCAAAAATTCCAAAGTTGAACGGGAGGAAAAGCGAGTACTTGGCTTTGTGTTATTGAGAGGCGAAACTGTTGTTTCTCTGACTGTAGAAGGACCTCCGCCACCAGAAGAGGGACTGCCTAGAGTACCGATTCCAGGAGCAACTTCTGGACCAGGTAATTTAACACACTCTGTTTTGCATAGTTTATTGTACACTTGATTGTACATCATAGAAAACATTGAACTATTGTGCTTGCAACCTGGCCCGCTATCACTATGATTTCCTATCACAAAAATGTTTTCAGAACCCTTATTACCTATGAGGTTAGCTAAAATCCATGCTTAGGTACTACATAATGGTCTTGTTAAGGGTACTACACAAATCTACAAGGTCATTGGATTTCCCTCATCGATTTCCCTCACCGATTTCCTTCACTCTAATTTATTCACCTTTACTTGGAACAATAAGATAAGATCCTTTCAGGTAAAAACGTCAGAACAGTAACAATGGCAGATTTTGGCATTTTTGTATCAGTTTGTAATTTATTTTTTCTACTTGCGTGCGCAAAGTAATCACTTTGCGCACTCATTTGCGTGCGCAAAGTTGAACTTTGCGCACGGAAACTCTTTGCGCACTCATTTTTGTTACGCATAATTACCATAGTTATACTTGATTTTCCAATGTTTTGATGGTTTCTGAATAAACTAATACTCAAAATGCAAGGTTTAAGTTGAAATTAGCGCTTAGTCAACGTGATGTTTCCTATCAAAGGTATCCAAATTGGACCGCCTGTACTGCTAGGAATTTGCAGAATTTTTGATATCTAAGAGACTCTCATGAAAATATTCTAGCTGGTATTCTAGAAATTCCAGAAGATGTTAAAAGATTTTTGGGGATTTAATTTAAAAGACATTCTGAGGAATTCCAATAGATTTTAAACGATTTTTGAAGATTTTGATTTGATTGATTTTTCTAATATTTTAACAATTCAAAGTCTACTTTTTTAAGATACTCGTAGAAAAAATATTGTACCTAACACTTGTGCAAAGTCTCTTTCCCGCACTCAAAGCTTATCCGAACTCCGCTTCGCGTCGTTCGTCTAACTGCTTTTTCGTGCGGGAAAATATCACTTTGCGCACTTGTTAGGAAAATAACTATTTTAATATTAAAAAAATTAGATGACTAATCATAATTGATGGTGTGCTTGCAAATAAAATAGTATACAAACCTCGGAGGAAAGTTTTCATTTCTGTCTCAAGATTATTAGTTCGCGTCTCGATTGACTATATAAATCTCTTAACAGTGATGAAACACTTCCCTACTTGGTATGTAATATACTATATTTAACGTTTTCAACACATCCTGGCTTAAATTTGGTACATTTATAGGTGTTATTAAAAAGTGCCATCATACAAGCCTATGATGTATCCTCTTCTGTTATTTTTACAGCTTTGATTTACATAGCTCAACATCTATACCTCTATTTTAATGTATGAAATAAACCTTAGAATAAACAGTGACAGGGCTTCGGATATACAGGGTGACCCACTCGGTGACCCATGACGAAATATCAGAAAAATATTATTTTTTCTCATATGTAACACCCTATATATTATTCTATTTTTGGATTCTTCTAAAAATTGAAATTCAAGATTTTTTTTATTATGTACTGTAGGTCGAGGTGTAGGTATTATCTCTGGTATTATGTTCTATACTTGTCTTCAACTATTCTACAACTGTTTCCGAAATATCGTGAATTTCAAATCAAAATATTTTAATTTATTTAAATAAAACAAGAAAACCTAAAACACTCAATATCAAATAAAATGGTTCATTGCAATGAAATAAGAAAATTAATTAGTTAATAAATGTTCAAAATGACCTTCATTTTCTTGAATGCAGAGTCTAACAATGTTCTAAGCTATCTACTTCATCACTGAACATAACTGGATTGTCTTTTATGGCATTAATGTCATAAAATCTAAAAAATAAATTTCTAATACTTAGAAAACGAAAACATACATCCCTTCTGCATTTTTGGATCTCAATTTTTTTTTTATAGGCATTGGCAGAGCTGCAGGTCGAGGAATGCCTGCAGGAATGAGCGGAGTCCCTGTAGGATTACAAGGTCCAGTCAGAGGTGTAGGCGGGCCATCTCAGCAAGTGATGACGCCTGGAGGAAGAGGTCAAATGGCGGGTCCACCACAAATGAACCATGGTCCACCTAGGATGGGTGCACCTCCACCAGGAATGATGGGCGGTCCACCACCTGGTATGATGGGCATGCCTCCAAATGCCATGGGCATGGGTAGAGGTGGTCCACCACCGCCACCAATGGGAATTAGAGGTCCCCCACCTGGTATGATGAGAGGGGGACCTCCTGGACCACCAAGAGGATATTAGTTGTAAGGTAGTTTAAATTTTATATCTAGCTTGTATAGTTTCTTGTATAAGAGGAAAAGGGGTTAAGTTGATGGTCATTGGCTGTATGACAATTCCTTTATCAAAAATTGTCATGTTAGAAGAAATTTATTTTATTTTTTCAGTTGGCTTAGTCAGCACATAACTTATTGGATAATTTAAGTAAGTACATACTTATGATTCAAAATGTCCACACAGTACAACACTTGGGCATTCCACTGCAATTACCTCATACACTATGAGGTTACATCGCTTCTATCATTATGTTTTTTTAAAATTTTCAAATTTTATATAATTTTTTTTGAGCTTGCATACCTCTTCAAGAAAGCACAGGAGACCGCTCATGTCTTTTATTTGGAAATGCCAATTAAACGTCAAGATTAACGAAATTTGCTAGTAGGCTTTTGATCATATCATGAATAAAGTAGTCTGAAGTTGTTCTTCCTAAAAGAAAAACTTCGGAAAGGATTATCAATTGTGGTTTGTTGGTCTAGTAACTTGACAGGATGCCCCTATTAGGCAATTTAATTAATAAATCACATTAAGTAAGTATGTATGTACCTACCAAATTGATCCATTATGGGCTGGCTAATTTAAGTGTTACCTTAAACTGGCAAAAGAATATCAGATTTTTTGAATAGCAGAAAAACTTGAGAGTAATATTCCTGACTGAATCTGTGAATACATTTTTCACCAATATAAAAATACCTTTTCAAGGGACTTTTATGCCTGCTTTTATGTCAATTGTGACCCTATTATTCCTCATATATTATTTACCTTACTTTATTATATGTTATCAAATTGTAATTTTTAGTTGGTTTCAAATCTGTATCTGGATCACTTGTGCTGTCCAATTATCTTTATACCTCTTTTAATTTACTGATTGTTCTAAAATTGTAAAATTGGGAGTGTAATTCTTAATAAAATAATATTTATTGATCACAACCAAGCTCTTTAAAATAAAAATTAATATTAAGTACATATGTATTTTTCTTAAAATATCTTAAGTACATGAAATATTATATCATGATCACAAATAGGATTTCTTTACATAGTAAATAAAATGAATCAAAAAAAAAATCAAATGCCTCAAATTTTCTAATTGTGCAACATAAATTTAAAAATGTTTATCCCAAGTAGAAAAATCATCCTGAACATCCTCTTTGTCATCTTGAAAAGTTTCAAAATATCTTGTATCAGTTTTACTGTTTAATGAAATCCTTATTGGAGGCTCAATCTCTAAATTTCTCAATTTTTCCCAGTCAAGTTTGGAGAACCATGGATGAATTTTAATATCTTTAATGCCATTTTTTTGACAGCCTATTCTATCTATAGACAATGGTCTGCATAGTTTTTTGATAAGATTCCTTGCTCTCGGAGAAACAATAAAAGGAAATGTCACAAAATCGATACCTTTTAAAATTGCTTTGTAGGTTTTAAGATCATTATGCATGTCATTTCTAAATGGCGACTTTCCTACTAGTAATTCAAAAATAAATACGCCTAACGCCCAATAGTCAACTCCTCTGTCATGGGGTAGATTCTTTATTAGCTCGGGCGAAACGTATTCTGCAGTACCGACGAAACTGAAGGAAGTTTCGTTTATTGGAATTTTTTTCGCAAAACCAAAATCGGTCAGTTTGAGGTAGCCAGTTTCTGATACCATAACATTTTCAGGCTTGAGATCTCTGTAGATTATGTCTTTGGAGTGGAGGTAGTCAAGAGCTTCAATAATACAACCTGAAAAAGAGTTTAATTTTAAATTCTGCCTTGAATTTTTTTTTAAATTGTTTTGATTTCCTAGTAACTAACTAATAGTCATTAGTTATTAGAATAAAGGGGTCAATGCCTGTACTTTTAAACAGTAAATATTTGTGTGAAACACTAAGTTTTCAAGGTCATGTGATAAATTCCAGATGTCAGTTTTGCTGCGCTTTTGTTAAAGGTTGTAATATATGTATGGAATTGAAAATTGAATTATCTTCTGGAATTATCTTGAATTATCTTTTGGAAACAACGACGCGTTATAAAATAGACACAGAGAAGAAGTCAGTGATATATCATGTCCCAATGTGTCAAGAATGGGTTAGTGCTGACTTGAAGGCCAATAAGGGTGATATGGAATAGTGTAGGTTTGCAAATAATCCGAAAAAAGGCTTTTCATCTTTTTTATAGAGAATTTCTATAGCTTTCTTTTTGGCCCGATATATTTTTTTCTATATTTAATATAAAAACTAAGATTCGTTTTTACACGATTTTAGCATTTTACACAGCGTTGCCAAATTTTATCTTTACCCTCCCATTTTGAGGACTTTTAAGACCTTGACAGACACCAGAACATATCCTTGTTTGCTTTCTATGAATTGGTCTGTGGGAAAATCCTTAATACAGCAAGTTATAATAGATCTGCATAGTCAATCTGGTCACTAGTTATGTATAGTTTATATGCTAACGAAGACACTTATGTAGTATGTATTTAATATCATTTGAATGAACTGCATAGTAAGGATTCCAGACAAAAAAAATTAAATGTGATCACATGCTTCATAAACCCAATATTTGCAGTGCCTTATTTGAGATTTTGCTAATATGGGAAACGAAAGGTAAACTAATGTTCAGGACAACAGTTGGAAGTTCCTACCGTCAAGGCTGTAATTTATTATAATGGGATTTTGTTTGAGCAATAAAATGTCAAGGCATTTCTGAACGTTTAAATACCAGTAAGCTACACACTAGTCGGTTAGTGAATCAATTTATTTTAGATTTTAAGATTGCAAAGTTAAGCTATCTTTGACAGTAAACAGTAGCAGATGGATAAATAATTTAAAAGATTTTTACCCGCATAAAATTTAGCAGCATCAGTATCAAAACATTTTCTTCTTTGTCTTCTTAAAAGATTCCATAAGTCACCACCTAAACATGGTTCCAAAAGGAAGTAAAGAAATTTCGTGTCCCGGAAAGTTCGGTACAGTCTCACTATGAAGTCGCTGTCACAAGCTATTTGTAGATCTTTTTCATTGAAGACCTAAAATGACAATATGTACTTCTATATTGAGTTGAAGAGCAACATTCACCCTTTTCACAAAGTAGCTAAATATAATGATTTTTTTACCTGGTCGATTTGTGGTTGACCATTGATTTCATATTTTTTCATTAATTTTAATGCAAAAATGTCATCTTTATGCCTTCTGTTTTGCACCAAATCCACTCTGCCAAATCCACCTACTCCCAATGTTTTCAGTTTTTTTAAATCTTTTAATTTCATTTCATTGTATTTCTCATTTTGGAAACCTAAAATATTTTATTGAATAACAAATTGACTATAATAATAATAATTAGACAAACAGAAAGTGTCATTACAAAGGCCACATTTTTAGTCTAAACTATGTTGTGTTTTGTGTTCTCAAATTCATCACAGGTTATTTTTAACTGTTATGAGTCGTCAAATCATAAGAATTAATGCAAATTAATATTAAATAATATAATCTTGTTACTATATTTATTACATAAATAAATTTATTCACCTGCACTGTGTAATTTTCCATGCAAAAAATCCTCCAAATCATTAAAATGATCCAAAAAATGTCTTCTAGATAATAACAAGCATTCCACGCCAGGTGCTTCGGCCACAATAGTGTAAAGACTAATAGTTTCTTTTAAAAATATATAATCTCCGAAAAAACAGCCTCTGCTCAATTTTTCTACTTTTTGAATTCTGTCTCTAGTTGAAATTGTTGCACTACCTGATGTAACAATGAGAAAACAATCAACAATATCTCCTTCCTTGACAAGTAAACTGTTGCTCGGGTAGAATTTTTCTTCCAATATATCACAAAGACGATACAATCTGGCATCCGAGGCTCTACCTAATGTAGGTACATCTTTTAGGAATTCTATTATTTTATCTCTATTTTCGATATGCGAATTTACTGTTAGATTTTTATAGTATAGACAATCAAGTACCCATACTTTCCCCTTTGAAAAAAAAAATATTTACTTATTTCAATTTAATTTACAATTAACTTGTTTTACCTCTGTCAACGCCTTAACAGTCTGTGCCGCCTTCGCACTATGCAATACGGCCACTTCTCCAAAGGTTCTAACTCCGTGAACTTTTCCAGTTTGCTTTCCATTCTCTGATATTTCATATGTTCCACTTTTGGTGACATAAAGATATGAATTGATTTTTCCTTGTTCCAATAGAATTTCGCCTTGTTTCATGTGTTTAATATGCATGCAATCGATTAGTTTTTGAAGCGAAGATCCAGTTAAGACGTTTCTTAAAAATTCGTTGTTGACTAGGGTTTGGTAGATACTGATTTCCTCACTGAAAGAAATACATTATTTTATATTAGTTAGCAAGTAGTAGGACAGTTGCGGAAAAGAATATCTAATAGAGTCCAGGAAGACATGAGCCTCTAGGTATTACAAATTTAAAGAGCAATAGAATCAACCTTTGTTAGCCATTTATTGGCATCAGGACAACGTCGAGGTAAATTCATCATATTGAGAGTATCAGGTTGAATGTCTTGGGGAAGATGGAAGCGAAGCAAATTGTTATAGATTCTCAATGTTACCTACCTTTTTGTTACCTTTATTATTTTACTTGGTATTTTATGATTGTCTTGGTGTTGTCATTATATTGAAAAGTATTAAATTTTTATACATACTGCAATACATATTACAACCAAAGCTAGAGAGAGCCCAAATCCTACTTGCGTAAAGACGTATTGAACTTTGAACGAAACTTCCAGAATTCTAGAAAGTTAATTCGGCCGGGTGATTGATTTTGTAAGTGAGGCGCGTAGTTTGTTAGTTGCTGTCAGTTTAAATAAAAGAATTGTAAAAGTGATAGGTGTTTAGAGAACTTTGTCAATTAATTCAATAAAAGCAGTTGTTAGTAAAGAGAGTTTAAGTGAACAGGGAATTCGTGTCTGTAGACTGTAGTACGGTTCCATTTATCTACAAAATGAGATAAACGATATTTTTATTAGAATTATATTTCTGAATACACCTAGCAAATCTGAAATAATAAAATGATATACATAATGAATGAAGTAAAGCTTCCCTACATAATGCACCATTTATTATTTAACAAAAAAAAAAACATGTTTCCGTAGTAGGCTGAGCACTTAAAAAAATTATCATTATCGTGCAACTAATTATCATGAAACTGCGATCAGAAGCAATCTATAGTATTTAGAGTTCTAATTAACATATCTAACTAATCTCTAAACGTCATGCATGGAAAGCATACCAAAAATCGATATGCCATTTATTGAATGTTTAGCTCTGAATAAAAATATTTGGAAAATGACTGGAAAAAAAAAAAAAAAAACTAAGGACAAATTGATGAATGAAGATAATGAAAACTTAATGTGTGATGAGATTTATTCCTTGCGTAAGTTATGAGTTATCCGCCTAACACAAAACAATAACTATTCTAATAGGAAATAAAAGGACCACTGTTCGGAAAAATTCACACAAAATGGATTTCGGATGTTTATATCCGTGTTGATATCCACCAATTGAAATTGCAAATGTCGAAAACCGGTGTTTGGCCTAATTGAAACCAAAACTTTCAACATAAATCTTAGATTATTGTTTTTGTATTTAATTTTAAATAAAAAGATGATGGAAGCAAAATTTATGATACCAATAAAATACGTATTTTTATTCAAAAAAAAAAAAAAATGTATCTTTCCATAGGTCTGTACTTACTCTTTACTTTTTTCAGTTTTTTCATTAGTCCTAACATTTGAGTTTTCATCATAGCTTCCATTGTTACCAACTAAAGGACTCAATAGTCCTGATCTTCTTTGCTTGAATTTGGTTCTGTTAGTCTGAATCTTACGAAAATTCTTCAAAGTCATTTTGAAATCGCTTTATTATGCTGCAACAATGAAATTTATTGTTATAATGTAATTTGAATTGATTTGGATAAATAGATTTTAATAAACTAACTAAAGATAAGTTTTTTGTTATATGAACAGGTTTACAAATGAAATATTCGTTGACACACAAAAGTGAACTGAACCACCCTGCACCATCATACCCTGTTAAGGTATATGTCCATTACTGATAAACATTCTCAATTTTATCAATACTGGGGGTCATTTGTATCAAACAGGTGGTCAATTTGACCTTTATTGTTTGTATTTATCGGCAACAAACAATTAGTGGTAGGTATTGGATATTTGAAGTTTTTGACCCTTGGGCTTTAACCTTGACGAGTTTTCCCTAATTCAATAAAAGAAAGCCTTGGAGAGACACATTTAATTGAGAAATAAAAAGTCCAATTTTCTCGAGCAAATATCGTATTTTCCATGGAATCGTTTTATGAATTTTTTATAAAGGTGAAATGATTACATGTTTTTAGAACACGAAGCCATTTTTATTGATGTCGACTGGAATTATGAATACGTGTCGGAATTGTAAATAATTTAAGCTGAAATAAATGAAATTAGTTATTACAATTTGATGAACTGCTGGATTTTTTCGTTGTCCCACAAATAAAAAAGGATTTAAAGACTTGTTTCATATAGGAATATAACAAATAAAGACAAATTTTAATATTTTAGCAATTTTTATAATAATCCAGTTTGTGACTAAATACAGAATGAGTTCTCTCAACAATGATGACCTAGGTTCACATTAGCACAATGTTTAATAAACAAATATTTAATTAATTTCTTTGCTTAAATAAGTAGGTACTTTGCAAACAGCTAAAATCCCAAAGGACAATATTTTGTTTTGTCATTAGCGTAACTATTATCTTACGACAATGTAACACGAAACTGAAAATTAGGATGTTTTCAATTACCCTCCTGGGAAAAAATTAAGGAGGATTTTATAAATGTTTAAATTGTTGATTTACGTGATTTTATTAACTTATAATGAGCATGATGGTGATAACT